CCAGTGACGGTGGAACCTTCAGGTCCAGTGACGGTGGAACCTTCAGGCCCAGTGAAGGTGGAACCTCCAGGTCCAGTGACGGTGGAACCTCGCTGGGTTGGGTTGTTGGACTGTAGCGGCCGGATCAGTAAAGTTTCAGTTCTGGTCTCGTGTTCTTCACCAGTGGTTGCACCCTCTCATGTTTCCTGGAGTTCACGTGTGGAACATATTTCAAACAACAACCTGACGTGTTGGATCGTGGGTGAAAACAGGATTTGAGGCCGTTTCTGTCGACCGGTGTTTAGGACGGTAAAGTTCACATTTTGGGTAGTTTGACTTGACCTGTCGTGATAATCAATAAATCAATAAATCACATGATGAATGAAAATGATTGACCTCATCTTCATTTATCATCTTTATCGTTTCTTCGTGTCTCTGTTTCTCCTGAAGACACTGGAGGACAAAGGATCAACTCCGGTTCTTCACTGACTCGTCCATTTCTCTTTAAAATCTGTTTCAATCGTCTAAAAACGTGATTTTTGCTAAAAGCAGCTACGCTACGAGCTAAGCTACGAGCTACGCTACGAGCTAAGCTACGAGCTAAGCTACGAGCTACGCTACGAGCTACGCTACGAGCTAAGCTACGAGCTAAGCTACGAGCTAAGCTACGAGCCAAGCTAAGAGGCCGAGCTCGGGGGAAGACCTCGGTCTTGTTGAAGCTCCAAACCTCACGGTGGACACTAGACGTGCACCGATGCAGTTTTCTGTCCGATCGCCGGTTTTTAAAAAGTCTGATCTGCAGATTACAGTTTAGTTTTACAAGCGACACGGTCAGGTGCTGTAAGTTCACCGCGCACCTTCAGTTTTCTGATATCTTCTTGAAACAGACTCTTGAACAAGATCCTAGAAACAACACGAACTGGTTTTAACTGGTCAAGACGTGGTGCTCTGAAATATAAATCAAGTTCAGACAATTGTTGTTAAAACTAAAATAAATCTGTAAAATCAGTTTCTCGTGCAAGTTTCGGCCGTTTCCCAGAATGAAGGAAATGGGGGCGGATAAACCGGTGCACCCCAAGTTGAAACCTGCGCCTTCTCTGTAAAAAGAAGCTGAGAACTTGTTCACTGATTTTTTATTAAAATCTTTGAGTGAAAAATGCTAAAGAGCTCAAACGACACCGAGCGTCCGACATTTTGAGAACCGAAGAGAGACAGCCCACGTCACGTCAAGGAGCCTCCCTCACATTAAAGAGACACGCTGCTCGCTCCCTCACTATCCATCCTTCAGTTCAAACTGTCTTGTACTGCCATCCAGTGGTCAAACAAGGTACTGCACACAAAAATAACCAACATTTCTTCTTAAATTAGACAACAATCAATAATTATTGTGAAATTTCAAACAATATTATCGTTTATCGCAATAATTTCTGAGACGATCGCCCAGTGAAATTTGTTTTCATGACAGGTCCAGTTTTGAGAGCTCCGTTCACAAAAAACACTTTCAGGTGCATGGCTCCGCCTCCAAGTTGTCTTCCAGGTGGACTTGTGTCGTTGAGGTTCATGGACGGGCTGAGGTGCAGTACAGTGTGCCGTCAGTCGCCTGAGCTGTGAGGTAGTCACAGGACTGAAACGTAAACTGACGTGAGGACGGCTGCAGGATTTGAACAAAGTTCTGAGTGTCCAGACGTAGCCATAGATCTGATCCCAGAACTGCTTCTTCAATCTATTTAGTGTAAAGTCACAGAGGGTGGTCTCGGGTCCCACCACTCCGGCACCTGACCTGCAGTTTTTGACAGTTTCACGTGGACTCGCACCTTCAGACCGGGACGTCTCCCGTCCCGACCGGGCTCATAACGACCACGAGCGGCGAACCTGAAGCAGCTTCTGTGATGTTCCAGGGTCTTTATTGAGGAGTCGTTTGATTCAACTTGATGGGATCGTTGATCCAATCAGGACCAGTCAGTCACTGGAAACCACAGAGTATGTTAAGTAGCTTCCAGTACAGTTGGGAGATGTTCACCTGAGCTCCACCTGTAGTTTGTCCTTTCATGGCCGATGGCCGTCAAAGTGCATTAAATCCCTGCTTCTGCTGCATTCTGCATGATTCAGACACGGACCCCGCTCTGACATGTCTGCAGGATATTTTGGGATCTCGCCTGTTTGGGTCTTCGGCCGCGTGCGTCTGCTGAGTGCAGCGGCTGAATGAACGTCCGTTTGGGCTTTGGACGGATCGCTGTCTGGCCGTCGTCCGTCTGAAGCTCAAATGAACTTTTGAACTCTTTCAAGGCCGGTGAGTGCGCGGTCAAATGGCCGCGTGCGGCTGGTGATCGTATGGCAAGCAGCTGTGAACATCTGGCAGCAGAAACATTCAGGTTTCCTCTCATTCCCTGTTCAGTTCTAGAAAAACGGTCGCTGTTCAAACCCCTCAGCGTCGGGGAACACGCCCGTCCATGACGTTCGACGCTGAAAAGAAGCCGTTTAGTTTTAGTTTTTAAAAAGAAGCGGTCTAGTTTTTATAAAGAAGCGGTTTAGTTTTTATAAAGAAGCTGTTTAGTTTTTAAAAAGAAGCGGTTTAGTTTTAGTTTTTATAAAGAAGCTGTTTAGTTTTTTAAAAAGAAGCTGTTTAGTTTTTATAAAGAAGCGGTTTAGTTTTTATAAAGAAGCGGTCTAGTTTTTATAAAGAAGCGGTCTAG